GAATGTTTGATGAAAAAAACAAAAAGCTCAAACAGAGTTGGTTATTATTATTATTGTTATTATTATTACTATTACCCCTCCACCATGTGAGAAGTCTCTCTCCTGCACTTCTCTTATTTGGTTCCCTGACAGTAGAATGAGCTTCTGAACCACATCTGGTCATCAGACTCCCTCTCCACCTTTTATAAACGCCTCAACACCCATCTGTTCCATGAATTCCTCAACTAGCTTAATGCCTCTTTAGATTCTCTGAATGTTCTCATGGTGCACTTCTGGTCCTTGAATAGTCTTATTAGGTTCTTGCTTTGTTGGAAGATGTTGCGTAGCTCCTGCTCCAGTACTGCTTACACTAGTAACTGGAACTTCGTTGGAAGCTCAGTCTAGCTGCACTTATGCATAAGTTGACTCCTTGACAGCATTATATTTGTAATGTGCAGTTTGTCTCACTTGTACATTGTTTTGGACAAAAGCCTCTGTTAAATATATTAAATGTAATAATAATAATAATAACAATAATATTGTTCTTTTTAGTAGTAGTAGTAGTAGTAGCATTAGGAGTAGTAGTAGGAATAGTAGTAGTAAAATTAGTAGTAGTAGTAAGAGGAGGAGGAGTAGCAGGAATAGTAGTAGTAAGAGTAGTAGTAGTAGTCATCAACATATGGAACAAGGCAGGGTAACTATTATTATTGTTGTTGTAGTTAGCTACACTAGAGGTAAGTCTAGATTGAAAATTAGGAAGGAGAAACAGATGAGCAAGCAAAAGAATAAAAGAATTAGCATTAAGCACAAAAAGTAGTAAATATATATACAGGAAGCATAAGGCAGAGAAGAAAAAGCCCGGTACAAACTGAAAAAAATGGACCAATAAACCGAATGGAGAAACAGCAATAACTTGAGCATGAAATGTCCCCTGACTTAAATAGAAGGCTTGGAGCGTGGGAGCATTTTCCAAAGTGTATGTATTCAAAGGCTCGCCTACAGTTTCAGCACTGAAGGTAATTGCGGTCGCGCGGCTCCCCAAATTGCCCTGTCACTGAGGTGCTTGTTTATGAGCAGCTTATTCCCGGGGCTGAGGCTCTCCTTCCATTGGCCGTAAAGCACGGAGATGCTCCGATTCATCACCCAATTAGTGAAGATGTGACAGGTCACCCCGCAGGGCCAGACAGATGCAGCACCAATCGAAACTCCGCCACAGTAACACATTACAAGTCAGAACCAATCCAGGACCGGCAGCAGTAACACAATGAACGTAACTTCTAATTCTGGAGAGAAAAGGGCCATCTAACTGCTGTGGGTATTTTAAACATTAATTGATCCTCATTAAAACACATCTTTGGCAGTCTTATGCCTTGTCTTTCGCATTCTTTTTTAGTAGTGATCATCAAAACTTTGACAACCACAATAATGATGTTCCCTAAATAATTTAACTTTAAATACACATTAAATAACTCTGGGCATGTTGAGTTGTTTTGCATAGTCTACCATCAAATGTATGGCAAGAATAGCAAGATTTTTATACTCTATACTGTATATGTACCCCTCCCACCGGGACCTTGCCCAGCATACATGCAGTAAGCAGTTGGAAGATGGTCGGACATGGACACTTGTCCCGTTTCTTAAATATCTACATAAGAACTTCTCATGGCTGACATTTCAACATGCTAGATCAGTCACTGTTCCACCATTTGACCAGGATCTGGCAATTTACAGACAGGGGAAATGGTGAGAATCAGGAAGCTTGTGTTTTTGAGATAATTGCTCATAGAGAGATCAACTGCTGCTGCCCAAACTATTTGTCAGAAGGTTTCAAACAGCCAAGGGAAACATTGCCAAATAACTCTCTTCAACATATAGAGTTGGCATCTGGGACAATTGCTGTTGGCTTAACAGAACATCCCTAAATGCATGCAAAACTCATCTAATTCATCGGAGGGCAACATAAACTGTAATGTTCCAAGAACAATCCTAAAAACATAAATAATTAAGTTGGAAGCATACCAAATCAGATTGTATGTTCTGCTAGCACTGAAAACTGGGAAGCAAGAACTCTCTGTTACCCTCCCAGCCCATCACGGTGATCGTGATATATTACTGTTTCCATTTTAGATAAGCTGTAATTCATCTGAACGTTAAGCAAACACAATATAACTCCAATAACTTTTGATAATACTGCTGAAATATAATATTGTATTAAATTGTATGCCTTTAATTTTAATTTTTTCTTTTCAGCGATGATTCTTTATATAGCCCAACCTTAAAGGATCAGCATGCAGCTCTTATTTTCTTTATAAATAATAATAAATCTGTAGTCTTGAGAAAGACAGAGCTGTCTCAGAGCTGCATCCAAAAATGCAGTAAACCACGGCGGGCTTAAGGCACAGACTAACGATGACGTCTTCCCCCTGCATTCCTGTCTACTGTGTCTTGCAGGACTGACCCTAACCATTTGTTATGGGCTTTGGGTTTCTGTCACACGCTACAAACTGACTGGCGTCTTGGTTTTAAATAGGCCTAGCAGGCTCACGGTATTCTCCTCTGTGCGAAACTACTGTCACGGTTATGTCTGGATCGCATCTGATAAAGCTGCATTACCATAAATTAATTATCTATCACGGACGAGGGAAAGCGGAAAACAATAGGCAATTTATTATTTTGTCATACTGTTATTTTGTGGACGTTTGTTTCAAAGGGGGGGATGAATAACACATCAGCGATGGATCTGGCACCATGACGTGCTGAGTGCAAAGGCCTCCATCACCCCAGAGAAGGTGTCACAAACATTCGCCCTCAGTCCTTCCTGCAGTCTGCTCACTGACTCACTGGAAGCCCAGCATCAAGGAAACTGCCCAGTTTTCTCGCAAATCACTGATTCCCCATAGGATTACATGCTTATTTAACCTATAGCACCCCCACCGCCACACCCCCTTCCCTGCAAAGCAGATTGAAATATGGGTAGCCTAGATATTAATATAAGCAGGAAAAAAAATCTTCCTTGCAAGGAGTTATGACTGGAGAAACTTTATATGAGCAAGGATTTTTTTAATATAAAACAATATGTAATTCGAAACTGGAACATCTGCGAAAAAATTAAATTACTGTTATATAGCATGGGCATCATTAGGCCCTGAGTATTTTAAGCCTAGCCCCAAGTATTTTAAGCCTAGCTGAGTATTTTAGCCCCAATGCCAATCAAAACAAAAAGTCAAGCCCCAGGTAGACTTAACTTAGACCCTGGCCTTTTCAAAAGCTAGAAACTCCCCCGTTATATAGCAAGTAGATTAGATCTAAATACTCAAATAATCATTTTCTGCATTGTTGGCCCGTGTAATACCCACTGTACTGGTCATTTTTGAGAAGCAGGTGCTCAAAGTTACAAAAGGGACTTCAGCACATTTAAAGCTGCCAGTCGGATGCACTCAGGGGCGCTGGAGGGATTGGGATACCCTGGCAGATCCAGGGGGCTGGGATACCCTGGCAGATCCAGGGGGCTGGCATACCCTGGCAGATTCAGGGGGCTGGGATACCCTGGCAGATCCAGGGGGCCTGGGATACCCTGGCAGATTCAGGGGGCCTGGGATACCCTGGCAGATTCAGGGGGCCTGGGATACCCTGGCAGATT